CTTATAGGACACTGCTTATAGGACATTGCTTATAGGACACTGCTTATAGGACATTCGCATGCTTACACCAGATGCACAAAGTAAGACCTTCCCTTTATTTATTGAATGGACACCCAGGGACCACCACCTACTGATAGAATATAATAATCAAAACTTAGTATTTCATAATCAATTTAAATTACCTTTTTCTTTTGTGAACGATTTTTACCATTCGGCTTGACTTATAAATTTGTTGATCATACATATAATAAGTAAATGTACTACAACACTGATATGATGATAAATCAGTAAATGATTAAATAAGTGTCATTCACATATTGTACTTACAATCTTCTAACCCCCCCTAACTCTCCGGGTCACAGTAGTGACCAACTTCTAGAGCCAAATAAAGGTATTTTTGTCATATACACTATGTCTCAAAAATGCTTCGTTACGGAAATATAGGGTGTGAAAGTTTCATAAAAAAATACAATTTTTTAAACATTTCCAAAACCACTTGAGATATTTTAATTAAATTTTTGCAGCTTTTGAGAGTTAGCAACGTTGCGTGTTTTACTGTAAACACAGTAGCTTTCGTTTAACCAGTGGCGTGCGGACAAGGTAATAGCTGAAAAATATGGAAGGAAAAACGTGTTACGCCGCTGTTCTTTTTCATTGTTTAGTTTTTAGATTGTTCGATTTGGAAGAAAAGAGGTTCCTAGTTATAAATTCCAAAACGGAATTTTTATTTGTAAAAATTTTTATTAAGTAAAAAATACACTTAAATGAGTATCTAAGATAACTCTGACTAAAGCTACCTCAAAATAACAACAATAATAAAGTTCTACTCCTATTTATAAAGTAAAAAATGATTATTAATCAAAGATAATCTATTTATATCATAAAAGAGTCTATTATATTCTCAATATATAACTCCTCCCTCCTTAAGTTTTGAAAAATATGGAGCTATTTTTCAAAACATCTTCTGTGGGATTTTCTAATTCAATTTCTTCGTTTTCTTTCTTCTTTCTTTTAAATCTTCTTAAAAGTTGTCCTCTGTATTTAATTAGTATTAAAATAATTATGCAAATAAAAATTACAAAAATTGTTCCAAAAGTGCTTGAATAATTAAAATTATTTTGAATTTCTTTAATTGGCTTTAATTGTTTAGAAATTTGATTAATTTCATATAAATCTTAAAATCTGGCAATGTCTTTATCTTTATTTTTTTGTACATTATTATTAAAATTTTCAAATTTAAAAAATTCGTACTAGTTAGCATTAAGAACTTCTATAGGGTTTCTTAAAATTATTTTAATTGGTTTATTATTACTATTTTGAACTTCTTTAGCTGAAGTCAATATTTGAGGAATAAATAATTCGTTAATATTTTGTTCATTTACTAAAATATCTCCATCAGTAATATTTACTGACAATTTTTTTATTGCTTTTCTTTTGAATCTAAAGAAATTATTTCATTAACTTATAATATTTAACAGGCATTTCAATGTTATGACCTACTAACTTTTGTTGTGTCAGGTCTATATTCAAGTTTAAGTTTATCATATCTTTTAAACCTAATATGCTATCAAAAAATGTGTGGAAATCGTAGACAATGAAGTCTATGTATTTATTATCAGAATTAAACTCTGCAGACGCTGGCACTAAGGCTTGGTAATCAATCTTTCGACTTCCCATACTTGTGGATAAGATAAGTTCTGAATGATAAATTGTTTGCGGAAAATATTTGTTAATTACTGAAGGTTTTATTATTGACCTACAAGATGCCGTATCAATTAGCAGTTTGAGCTTGGGTTCGCGTATTTCTATATAAGGCAATGCATTGTTTGAAATAATATGCAGTTCTAGTATCTTTCTGTTTTCAATGAGACCGGTACCTGAACATTTTGTTCAGTCACCTTTTTAAATTGATTCATTTTCAAATTTAATTTGATTAGGATTTTCAAAATCACCAGGATTATCATCATTGTTGTTATTTAAATTGGTATCATTACAAAAATTAGAATGTAATTCTTCAAAAGTAAAATTTGGTCTTGAATTATAATTTTGGAAATTTCTGTTAACATAAAATTGTCTCTTTGATTGGAAAGAAGGGTTGTTTGATGTCATTGACATCGGTTCTGGTTTAGACAATTGGCTTTCTGGAATTTTATTTAGTTTGAAAACATTTTTTTGGTTTTAATGGTCCAAAAACTTGTTGATTAGTAAAATATATTTTATTTAATTGTGGCCTGGGTTGTACATTTATAGGTTGACAAGGAAAATTATCAAAATTAGCTTTGTATTGATTATTTACTAAATTTTGATTAAAATTTCTTTGATAATAATTTTGATTTCTGCAATGGGAATTTTCAAAATTATTTCTGGGATAATTATTTGAAAATTAATTTGGTCTTTGATTATTTTGATAAAAATTTAGTTTGTAAAAATCATAATTCGGATTCATATTATTAGCATTTCGATTCATATAGGAGTTATTATTAATATGTCTTTGAAAATTTTGAAAATGTCCAATATTTTGTTTATTATAAAAATTTGAATTATGTTTTGACATGTTTCTTTCGTATGAATTATTATTATACAAGGTTTCAAAATTTTCAAATTCAGAAACATAAGCAACAGCTTCTTCTAGCGACTCTGGCTTTTTCAGATGCATATTATTTTTTAGTGTTCCCGTACATCCTGCAACGAATGTATTTAGCATAATGATTACTTTGAATTTGTTTTTCCATTGGGGTTAAATTTGGATCATTACTTATTCTCTGAATAACACTACTTCTTAACAACTGTAATCTACTCGCAAAATGTATTAAATGTTCACCTTTTAGGGGTTTACTACGGGTCAATTCTTGCACTAAGCAATCTAAATCTCTTCGATCAGAGAAACATTGTAACAAAGCATTTTTTAAACCTATCCAAGTATTAATTTCAATTCTGTTTCCTACCGTTATCTCAGCTTTTCCTACTAATTTTTCTTGGATACATTCTATTATATGTGCATCCAGTTCTGGGTCATTATATGTTTTATAAGTATCAATCAAACTTTCGCATCTATTTATAAATTTATTTACTGAATTACTATCACCATCAAAAGTTTTTATGTTATTTTTTTTGGACTTAAAAAGATCCCAATTCACTTGTCTACGTTCAACTACTGAAGGTGTCATGATTAAATTACTTCCTACACTATCTAATTTATTATCTTTTAACGATATATTTGCAAATTACTCAAACAAAGTATCAATTTCTGATTCACTCATAAAATATAATCAAAATAAAATATAAAATACCTCTTAATTAAAGGAAAGGGAAATTAAAAGATATTTGTCACTTACTATTTTCTTCAATTGCTTTCTAATTGTCGTTTCGGATGTCCCACCATGGGATGATGTCCAATCGACGATTCTTCTACGTGGAGGTTAGACTGTCGCCACAAAAGGGATGACGTCCACCAATTCTTCGTTAGGAACTACACTTAAAGAATTAAAATTCCAAAGTCACGAAAAGTTAATATTCGGCACGGCAGGAGCGAACTCTATTAAACTTTTTCACGACTTGCGTGTATCCTACTGACTGCGCCAGTTATAAATTCCAAAACGGAACTTCTATTTTTAAAAATGTTATTAAGCAAAAATACACTTAAATGGATATCTAAGACAACTTTGGACTAAAGCCTACACTAAAGCTACCTTAAATAACAACAACAATAATAAGATTCTACTCCTATTTATTAATTAAAAAATGATTATTATTCAAATATAATCTATTTATATCATAAAAGAGTCTATTATATTCTCAATATATAATTGGCGACTAGTAAAATGTCAAACAAGTACCTGAGAAAAATTGAAGATAACTTTTTTGTTGTACATTGTTCAAAGAGATTAAAAATAATAAAAAAGAATCTGTGTTGCTTTTTCTTCCAAATCGAACATTAAAAACAGAACAGTGGCGTAACACGTTTTTCCTTCCATATTTTTCAGCGATTAGTTTGATTAAAATGTCTTGGTTTTAAAAATATTTAAAAAATTGCATTTTTTTTATAATTCTTTCACACCCTGTATTTCCGTAACGAAGCATTTTTGAGACATAGTGTATATGACAAATATACCTTTATTTTAGCTCCATAATACGCTCCTGAAGTTATGTACCGTACTTATCGAACACCCTGTATAGTACAGTGATAAGTCTTAACTGATAATCATTTCCGGATTTTGTATATTTTTAAAATAAAATTAAGTTTTTTTTTTTATCAAATTTTAAAATGTTTATTCGTTTGTTTCAGGTAAGCAATCTTCAAAAAACGATCTTAGTAGTAGTAAGTACAGTTAGAAGATATACTTGTATTGATTCTACAAATTACATTAACCTATAATTTATAGAAATAGGTATACTTAGATTAATCTAGTGATTCTAGTGTGTGCTGACATTACCTAACCAAAATGTTCGATTATGGAGTAGGTAAAAGGCTAATCTCTTGTAATGTGGACGTCACGTTGCTAATTATTTATATATTGTTATATATTAGTATTATTTTTTATAAAAATACATGTTTCTTTACATTTTTTAGTTTAACATTATTACTAAACGACTATTATAATTGGAAATTGTCTAAGAAATAGGAAAACTAAATAGAAAAATGAAAACACGATTTCCACAAGCTGGCAAGCTTCCTCGCAGATTCTACTCGTGGACCTTCGTGAAATAAAAAGTAAAGAAGATTATTTTTCAATTTAAAATCAATTTCTCTCGACTTAAACAAATCCCTCTTTGTGGATTCGGTCGTGGACGGATCGGACCTGGTACAGGACCGGCTTTTTACAGAAATAACGCAAAAATTTTGTTTATTTTTGACTTTGAAACTAATGAAAATAAAATAATAGGTTTTATTTTTGAAAAATCAATAGGCTCTATCTCCTTAGTCAGGTCCTATTTAAATTATTTTACTGAAACCATATTACAGTTATCCATAAGTTATTCATATTATTAGTTCCTTTCCCCCTAGTCCGGTTCTGATTAAACTAAAGTTAAATCATACAAAAAACATGAAAAACCTACAAAACAATTGAAAATAAAACGCTCATTTTCTGGCACAGTATATTTCTCTATTGCACAATCACTCTTGCGACTGATTTTTTGCGACCAGGTCGCAATAACAAACTCAAACATCAAATCAGTCATCTCGAAACATCAAAAAGATTTCAGCGGTGCTTGCAAATCACCAACAAGTCACCCTTGAATTTAAATCAACAACAATAACCGTATTATTCAACCAAATTTCTACTTCCAAGAATTTCTGTACCAATCTTTCGGCACCCCTTTAGTAGTTTTAGAATTGGTAGCCTTTTTCTTAGGTTTGGAGTCCGATCTTTCGAGGGTCCTTGGAGTTACTGCCGCTGTAGAGGATGCCACGCCTTTCCTGGTATCTCTTAGGCTGTAGTTGTTAGTTACGAAGAGAGAAGACGTCCTGGAAGACCTTTCAGATGGAATTCTGTTTTGCTCCTTGGATTGTCTTGAAGTGGCTTTCGGGTGCACAAAAGGTTTCTTTTTATCCATGTCGATGACAGCAGGTTTTTTAATAACGGTCGTTCTTTTGGAAGTACCCGTAAATTCTTGGTTGATCTTGGTCCAACTCGGAGTCAATTTGTACGATTTTGTATCTTTGTTGCCATTAATTAGCACCGTCAGCTTCTTCCGCAAAGATTCTATCTCTTTTTTCATAGCAACGAGACTGCATTTGGTGCAATCGCATTTGTTGCTGTTGCTGCTGTGCTTGTCTTTGGACGCAATACAACCACAATCGTGATCATCCATACTGGAAGGCTTTTTCGGCGATCTTGGAGATTCGGGCCAGACGTTTTCTATGACTGGATTCTTGTCTGTTGGTGATTTTGGTTTGTTCCAGCAAACCTTGCAATTGCAACTGTCGCATTGGCAGAGCGAGGCTAGTTGGAGGGGCGTGAAGGCTTTCATTTCTTGAATCGTCGGAAATTTGTACAGTTTATGCCAAAAGCCGCATCCTGAACAAATAACGGCTAGATCTTCGGGCATTTTAAAGCCGGATTCGTTATCTTGAGCTACTCCGTCTGAAAAGTCAAAATAATATACATTCAGGGTGGGAAAACTAAAGATGATTTATACATTTTGACAACGTGTACTGAAGCTGTAGTCTAATTGTACCATTATCAGGTTATATTCTTGATAAATTCGCCTATTATAAATAGGGAATCATCATATATCTCTTGAGATATTTAGTAGCCTTCCCAGGCCGTAAAGAGTCCTATTACAATCTTAAGTTTGTGCTTGCGAAGGTTTAGCAGTTGATTTTGTCTGCTCTTGGATGGAATCTCTATGAATGTTCTAGACTGCCTGAATCCAGGAAGTTCCAATTAGAGCTTATGGTGTTCACTATATATCTGTTCCATAAGCATCTCTTGAACATGTTGATATGCAATATCACATGTGAGTTCTGGTCCAATTAGAGTTTTCTCAACTCCCTTCTTGGCTGGGAGGTTTGCTCTCTCATTTTCTAACACCTCCTCATGTCCCGAAACCAATTCAAGAAAGACCCTGTTCTGTTTAAACCTGGAGGGACTAGCAGTTCAATATTAATTTATACTGAAGTGCGCAGAACTAAGACTTTAGCGAAGACGTGGCAAAAACGCCAACAGCTACCGGTCTTTTGGTCAGGTGTGATGTGTCGCGGGGGAAAGGGAAGAACGGTGTGACGAGACGGGAGGAGACAAACACGCTTTAGCTCGCGAAAGGTGATAAGTAATTTTAAGTTTGTTGTTAAGTAAACAATTTGTAACAACGACTCGAGTTGTGGTTGATGTCCAACCCAACTTGTCGTTGCTCTTTGTTATTTGAAGTTGTGGAACGTTGAAATAAAGAATATTTCCAATATACCAGAAACCCCATTATTTATCCTGAGGAATTAGCTCATTACAATACATCTACCCATTACAGTGTTTCAATCAACAAACTTACAAAAATCTACTAAAAATACGCACCTGTGTCTGAAACTAACGTCACTGGACTCCCATTATGACTAACAGACCCGATTGGACAAATCTTGGCGGGGAACGAACAAACAAAGCCCTTGGAACTGGTAGGGCTACCTTGTTCAGACACGATCCTCATCTCGGGAGGCGAACGGACTTGCAGCTCGGCGGTGCCCTCGTTCTTGTCGCAAAAGGAACGCGTGGGGAATATTGGAGTGCCCTTTTGTGGTACGGCGACGCATAGAGCGGAAGTTGCTTGGGACATAGTCGAACACACGCTGCATAAGATGAAGCTGTTGCCGATATCCCCAAATGTTACGTTTTCTTCTACTTCGGCTCGTATGATACCTGGAAATTCGTCTTTATTTTGATGGATCGCAGGGCATATTTTTGGCTTGCTCAGACATACTTTACCATCTCGTGGAGACATGTCTTCTTTTACTTTACCTCTCCCCTTCTGGTCTTTTTCTTTCGCTTTCGTCGGCTCTTTGTATACTACTCCGCTGCCTTTGGAGTTAATTTTGGAGCTTGGAACTTGGGATTTTTCTTTTTTGCCGTGTTCTTTGTTGGTATTGGCTGAAGCGGGAGGGACTGTTCTCGTTCTGTTGAAAGTTGAAGCGGTTGGGCGACAAATATCGTTCTTTTTGAATCCTTCTTTGCTTTGACGAGTTTTGGTACTGTTTCCTAGTTTCGTTCTACTTGTTTTACTGTCGATCCCTAGTTTTGATTTGCCGGTATCTGCGCCCAATTTCGTTCTGCTTACACTGCTATTCTTTTTGATTTTTTCTTTGCTTAAATCGCTCGCAATTGCTTTTTGAGGAATTTTCGTTGGTTTTGATGTTTGCTTGTCTTTATCTTTTCGTAAGTCTTCCATGGTTTTCTCCGTAATCTTAATATCAGACTTCGGTTGGATTTTTGAACAAATATCAGTACGTTGGTTGGCCGTTAACAAATTGATTGGTTTATCGGTATTCTGAATCGCTAACCAAACAGCTTTACATAATGCAGCTGTGCAAGCCTGTCGCACCGATTCTGTATCTGTCAAAATTTTCCCGCTTTTCTGCTGTTCTTTGGATTTATTTTGATACAAGGCGATACCCGAAGGAAAAATCATTATGTTGCTTCTTGCTGGCAGCGGAATAAGCGATTGCTCTTTGAGTGTTTCAACCCACATGCTTCTATAACCAGGAGCTATGGCTTCGGTGCTGGGTTGTGCTTTTGGTTTAGCTTTCATTGGATCTGATGGGTCTTTTACTAGTACAGCTTTAAAAACATCCAAACTTTCCAATGTTTGCATATTTGGATAAATCGCGTTTCTGATTGGTCCTATCAACGTTTTCGATTTTGAACCAATAGCGTCTTCGGCAATATCATCGGATATCTCAGGATAATCACTCGGTGTACCTTGATAGTCGTTGGAATCATGCAATTTAATTTCTTCAGTGTGGGATTTTAAATAATCAAACCTGTCGTTGGAATATATACATTCAATGTTTGAAAATTCTCTTGTGATCCCTAACGTTCCCAATTCGCCTTTAGCAAGGTTATCAGCTCGTTTTTCTACAATAAAAGCTTCGGTTTCAGACGCTTTAGATTGAAAAACGCTTGCGTTACTGGAACAAACACAATTGACGCACGCGCAGCTCATATCAATTGATGGTTTGTCTTCTTTACTACTTTCCATGCTGACGTTTAGCGAAAAATCTTTAGTCTGATCGGTATTGGTTGAACACAAACATTCGTGGCACGAACAGGCTGCAGAAGAAACCGTTGGACTTTGGGTTTGTGGTACTTTTTGATTTAGGGCAGTGTTGCCGGTGCTTTGAGAGCAAGCGCAACTTGCGTCAAAATCGCCTGTTGTTTCAGAACGGGATACTCTGTATGGACAAGTACAGCCGGCATTGGGACAAACGCCTTCTTTACAACAGTCCGCTTTGCAGACAAATTTGTGTAAAGTTGAATCTGTTGGTGTAAAGTCGGATACTTGGGTCTGGATGTACTTTTGAGAATGTCCAGACTCGTCTTCGAGTAATTTTTGTCTTCTTTGAACTACCCAATACGGCAAGCTTTCTTGCGATAGTATACTTTCTTCACAATAACATCTCCCGCTCTTATCTTCTGAAGAAGAGGTTTTTTTGGAATTCTTTTTTGTTCTTCTAGAGCAAATGGCAAGGCAGACAGCTTCGCAAGACGAGTCTCTAACAGCTTCACGTGTACCGGTAGCAAATTCTCGACATATTGTTATTTCTGAACTGAAGTCTGATATCTGAGTCGATGCAGATATTTTGCCTTCATTACCTATTGCTTTACCGCAAGTTTTGCATACATTAGGAGAAATGTTAGAAACTGATATCTGATAGACTTGTTTTTTGTCTAAAACTAATAATTCTTTTATTGAAGCTAGGTTTCTGACCTTACGTAAGTACAATTGTCTATGGTTCTGCATAAATGGGCATGAGTTCGATGATGATTGTTTGTCATTTTCTCGGTCAGGTTTGTTGGTTTGGTTAGCTTCATTTTTGGCTTCATCAGGATATTGTTGTACCATAGTTCAAATATTCTCATGTCTAATTGAGTATCGTTTACGATTTCTGATTTATGGGATGCTGTCTGATTATGATAACTACCACCTACAATTCTTCGATAGAATGCCAGATGTTGATGGTGAAACTGAGTACACAATTTTACCAGAAATCTCAGTACGGACACAAATACTGATGAATATGAAATGGGACGATAAATTTGGAGAAAATTTTCGGATTCAAATTGACATGCGGTCTGCCATATTTACGTGTCAATTATTTAAAAGTCTAGGTCAAAGCAAGCTGTACTAGCAACTATACCAAAAAGGAAACTATCATATAAACATAGAGATCTTATAGAGATACCTCCATGACAAAAAATGTTCTTCTTGTCATGTTCATGTGAGAAGACGTCACTTATTAAAGGGTACAGGGTGATGATCAGAAATTCTAGATTAAGTAAAAAAAAATCTTAATTTGACTGTTAATTTTATTTCTCTACATTACAATCAGTAAGATAAGCAAAATATATTTGGAATTATGCTTTTTTTAGTGCCGTTGCCTCCACTAGTGTGCTTAATCAGTTTCTTTTCTTAAACGGAGCTTGTTTCATTATGTAAATAGTTAAAAATTGCTTAAAAATTCAATCAAAATACAAAATATTAGGAATTATGCTTTTTTAGTGGAATTGCTTCTTAATTAGTTTCTTTTTAAAAACATTGCTTATTTTATATGTAAATAGTTAAAAATTGCTTAAAAATTCCATAAAATCCTCATAAAATAAGCAATATTTTTAAAGTTATTTCTTAAATCATCCAGCACATTTGCTAGCCATAAAATAAAATGAATTCCTTATGAAAACTTGAGCAAATCAAGTTTAGACCAAAGTGAAACAACCTGGAAGCTCCTAGAACAACTTAAGAACATCAGTAGTATTAGAGAATTAATCAAATCTAATTATTGGACTCTTCTTTTAGTCATCAGGACAAAATTCGCCACAAGGCTCAGGGCAAGCGTCGCAAATTTTCCTGGAAACATTCAACGATACCTCCGAACATTGACACGAGTTCTCCATCCGAACTTCTTTTTCCACTTCAGTACTTGGTTGTTTTCTGGCGGTACAAGTCGGGGGGCACATTTCGTCGCCTTTTGATTGAAATTTGAACTTCCTCAGCCTATTTATGTAAGGACATACGCCACCGGTGGTCGGACAAGTACCCACGCTTGCATTCCTTTGTCTACGTGTTTTAACTTTTTTAATTTTTTTGTTTAACTTTTTCGGCCCGTTTCCCTCTTTGGCGCGATTTGGACAAGTTGATTCACAAGATTGGGTTGAATTACTGTCTTCTGTGTCGTCTGATTCTGAACAATGACAGCTGGTATAATCTTCGGTATCATCAACGCTTGGTTTCGGTTTAGGCTTGAACGGGCAAATTCCTCCAGTAGCTGGGCAAATAACTGTTCCACCAGGAGCATTTACTACACTTTTTTGCTCTATTTTAGTAGGAACAGTCTTCTTTGGTCCCTTTTTAGGACAAGGACAAATAGGTTCCTCTTCTTCGACAGTCTCATCAATAACTTCTTCAACTGGGAGTATATTCGAATTTCTGTTAGGTTTAAACGGACACTCTCCACCAGTAGCAGGACATACGACTTTTTTTATTTCTTCTGGAGGTGCAAAATTAGATTCATCGCACGTGCAACCTTGGTCCTCGACATCTTCTACTTCTTCTAAACAGCATTCGTTCTGTGCGCAAATATTTACAGCTTCGTCTGCTAAATTTTTTATAACATTCGAACAAGAACCTTTGCAAGTTTGTACACAAATATCAACAGCTGCGTTTGTTGCATTATCCACAGCTTCTAAACAAGCAGCCGCATCTTTACCAACACTGCTGTTAATAGTATTGTCCACTAAGTTCTTGGATGCGCCAGTAATAGCTGTATCTTGACTTATACAGGTCGCTACACATACTAATTGTCTCAAAGAATGATCACTGATGATTATACTCTTGTCAACTGCTTCTAGTTTTTCTTTGCTTAAATAAAGTGATCTTATTGGTTTGTAACTACTTTTATCTGGTCTTGAAAGAGCGGTTTTCCACATGATGCGTTTTCTCGTGCAATTATTAACGGCTTCTTCTTCCATATCTCTAATCAAACTCGCGCAAATGCCAGTTACCCTTTCCGCACCGAAATATATAGCTTTGCTCACTACAAGTTTGGCTGCATTCGAGCAAACTCCTTTAACTTTTTCTAGATTAGCTTCAACCGTATTGGTAGTTTTATCTATTTTCATGAACCTTTTATATCTGTTATCACCTATACGAGCAGCTTTGTCTACGGTTTTGTTTAGTAAACTCGCGCAAATAACTTGATCTTTTTTGGCGCCAATGCAAGCAGCTCTCCATACTATGTGTCTTCCAGCGTCAGTGCAAACGGCTTTATCATGTTTGCTACAAATGTGGAGAGCTTTTCTGACTGCATTTTTTAGATAGGAACTAACGTATTTTTCATTTGCTAAATGTTTATGTTCATTATTTGTTGCTTTAGCAGAAGTAACCTGATCAATTGTCGCGTTTACATAACTAGTTCTGCCTACCATTGAAATCATGTCAAAGGTTCTAACTGTTATATCTTTAATTCTATCAATTAAAGATTTTACTGAACTTGTTACACGGTTTGCTATTGGAATTTCGTCGATAATATCTGCTTTTTTGGTTTCTTCAGTTGTGCTAGCTTCGTCTTCATCGATCCAACATGTTAGATCGTTAAGTTTGTCTGTAGTAGTATTAATGCTATTGCTCGTTGTATCTTCGAATGCTATTAAAGTAGGTGATTTATTTCTTTTGGGACTAGCTGCAGTTCTGTTTTCTCCAATTGTGCTAGCTTCGTCTTCATCGGTCCAACATGTTCGATCGTTAAGTTTGTCTGTAGTAGTATTAATGCTATTACTCATTGTGTCTTCGAATGTTATTAAAGTAGGTGATGTATTTCTTTTGGGATTAGCTGCAGTTCTGTTTCCTCCAATTGTGCTAGCTTCGTCTTCATCGGTCCAACATGTTAGATCGTTAAGTTTGTCTGTAGTAGTATTAATGCTATTACTCATTGTGTCTTCGAATGTTATTAAAGTAGGTGATGTATTTCTTTTGGGACTAGCTACATTTCTGTTGTCTCCAATTTTGGTAGCTTTGTATACCAAGTCTTCTAATGTCCAATAGCTTAAGGCTTTACGTTTTTCTGCAGCAGTGTTAATAACGTTGTTCATAATGGTTTCGAGGGTTGTTGAGGCAGGTGATTTGTTTCTTTTAGAACATAAACACGTTCCTTTGCATGTTGATGCCTTACGGTCACACGTACAATATTGATACCTTTTTTTGGTCTTTTGGGTACCTATATCTGGCATTTTTGAATTTATAGATAGAGACTAACTTACATTTTTTTATGTATTTTGTTTTCCAATTTATTTTTTTGAAACGGTTTGTACTTCATTTGAATTTATTTTCTTTTTTAAGGGTATATTTGTTGTTTGATTTAAAAAATTAGGTATTTGATAATGTTTTTGGTTTTTATAAAAATAATAATGCACTACAAATTTTATTTTTGTGAATATTTGAAAGATAAATTTTTGGTTAGTTCTTTAAATTGTCATAAAGTTTCTTCTTCTTTTTTTAAACCTTATATCTTATATTTAATACTTCAGTCAGTTTAAAAAATAACAAGTGCTAGCAGAGATTGTTAAGGGTTGTTTCTGCATATAAACTATGGGCAAAACAATTAATAAAAGTTCTTGTAATACTTTGGCAATTAATTATGCGCCAGAAGGAAATGACTGTATAGAAATTGTACAAAACTTTTCATTATACCACCAAAATGTTTTGTAATAAAATGTAAAAGTTTTGAAACAAGCTTAATAATAGAACATTCAGGATTCCCTGGATTGGTGCAGATTTCAAAAAGCTGGACAAAACTTTGAATAAAACAAATTTAATCTGCTTTAGTTCCAGTATTATTAAACATTCTTCAAGAGCCGGACATTAGTTCTCTAAAGAGCAACTTGATTAACAAATAATAATGTTTATTATGATTTTTACAAAGCATATAAAAGAAAATTGGTCCATCTACATCGGCTAGACGTTGAACCGTAATCGTTGGCTGAATGTAATAATTCACAAAAGGCCACTAATTAATGGTATTAACTCGTTCTTCGCCTGTGAAAGTGCTAAATTCTGTGCACGCCGGAGTTGCTATGAATTGAAGCCTGACGACGGAAAAATGTTGGAAAAGGGAAAAGAAAAACCTGTAAAAAAAGTTAAAAGAACTTTATTATGCTGGACCGATTATAATGAGTAAAGATATTTTTTCTTTGTTCTTTGTTGAATAATGGTTTCTTTTATACGGGGAATATTTGAGGAATCCTTATAAAATCATACAGATGTCACCTGCTTCATATTTAATACGTTTATTGTGACAAAATATCTATTTTTCTTCGCAGTAGATTTAAAGAGCTTATTAAATGTCTTCTTCATCTTCTTAGTCCTTATTAACACAACTTATCTTTTTCCTTATCAATAAACAAAAGTCTAGGGTGCTGCATCAAAGTTATCAGGGCACTTGGTGCTGGTATCTTTAACAATTAACAGTGACAATGCCTACTGCATCATCAGTAAATTGTTACTGAAAATGGATGGAATTGGTAGACAAGCCTCTGTTAACTGCTAGGGCAGTCTAGTCTTTTTTAACTTCATCTAGCCCTTCCTTTTCTTTGCTTCCTCTCCGCCCTTCATGCATTTTAGACATTTTAGATTCTCGGTGTGGCTCTAGCATTCTTCTTCTTGCTTACTTTATATTAAAAATTATGTTTACAAACAGCAGTGGTAAATTTCATATTAGTTTGTTTTTAAACTGTCTTTATGTTACATCTTTAAATGAAAATATTTACTTTGTGTTTAAGCTAATTTCTTTTAGCTCTATTAGCTTTGAATCGTTTGAGAATGGAAGACAGAATGAATTTACATGAGTATTTTAAAATTATATGTGTAGCAAACTGTTCAGAACTTATGAACGTCTCGTACGCTTAGTGTTCGACCAATAGACAGTCGTCTTAGATGCAGGAATGATGTTAAACATATCTAAATCTTTACCACCCATTTTTTAGCATTTTTAAACACTGGTTAAAAACATTTGATTGAATGCTTGAACACAGTTCTTTCTAGACATCGATACATCATAAAAATTCCCACTTATTACGTTCTCTCCATCTCTTTCCCGATACAAAACACGAAACTCATAAGAGCAATAAAATAAAATGATGTTGGAGAAATGCTCATCACATTTAAGGATTATATTCTATTTCCAGATATCGCAGAAAGAGAAAACAATAGAAAAACATACACTTCATATGAAATATCGTGTCGATAAAGTGAAACTCCGGAAAAACTGCCAAGGAAAGCTATAGAG